AGTGTCACTTGTTAACATACATTATTTCAATTGCTTCCATAGTTTACAACGATTCTCTAGCGTGTCATTCACATAATCAGATGTGTGCCAATTATCAATACAGTAGGTGTAAATCTTTTGGAATTTATAATTGTGATCATGTGTTCTTTTCCGTGATCATTTGTTCTTTTCCGTGATCATGTGTTCTTTTCCGTGATCATGTGTTCTTTTCCGTGATCATGTGTTTTCTTCCATTGCTTTTCCCGACACAACGGTATTCCCCAAGAATACGCTGATTTCTTTTCCTAATCACAACATGAAGATGACAGAAATAGTAATTTAAGGTAGAGTGTTTGAGTGTGAAAAGAGGACGGAAACTCTCACAGCCTCCTCCATAGGTGCCCTATTTCCTCTTTAAAAAAATAGCGGGCTTCCAGTGTTCGATCAATGGAGCGGGACTAGTAACCAGATGCCTTCAGGAGTGGCTACATGGATCTCCTTTTATTTCTTATACAAGGGAAATACGGTTTTAAATGTACCTTCGCATAATTTTCAAATGGATRTATTTTGTTTGTTCTTAGGTCTTGTGTCTTTTGATAATTGTGACTGCCCTGACAGTTGCAATCAGACCAAATACGTCCTCTCAGTRCGATATGGTCAGTTGGCAAGTAGGAATTTAGAAGGCGTTTCGAAAATGTTCTTCTTCGACGATTATTCCGAGTGAGTAAAGATGTGTGAATAAGTAACGTGCCCTTGATATAGCACAAGTCGAGTTGATAATAGGCGAGTTAACGATAGGCGAGTTGGAAATAGTGGGAACTAGCGTTAAACTAGTGTGAGCTGCGTCGGTCTTTCTTAAAGTCCACCTCACCCAATTTTTTTTAAATTTGGAAAAAAAGTTTAGGAGTTATAAACCACAAATTCACATTAAAAAAATTCGAATTTCCAAATTTTATATTTTTTATGCTCGTTTAATTCGGCCAAATGATTTTAGGCCGAGTGCGAAGGAGCCTGGGTTGATGACGTAGATGGAGTAACTCGTCCTTCGGTATCAGTTTCATATATATTTCATTACAAAACTATGTTTTCTAAGACTGAACGCGGGATAATCCAACCTRGAACGGCAAATCTWATGCTACTAGAGATTATTCTGACGATTTAAACGTTATTTTATGTCTTGGCTATAAAAATGGAGCCAACGTGTTGAGAGATTATTCTGGACGAACAAGTGTTGCGTATAGATCTAGATAAATATCGAGGAACAGGAAAAGTTATTTACGGCCCCAGGCAAGTAACTTCTTTCAATATATGTAGGTAGTATTTACAGCTGTTCAAATTCCAGGTTCTCTTGTTTCAGATTTGATTTTTACTGTCATTTCACTGTAGGTATCTATCGTTGTCTCTCGAACGACTTACTCCCTCTACGTCATCACGAAGAGATTGATCAGGCACACAGGAATCCCGAAATTGGCTTTCTCCGCGGTTGTTTTCGCTTCAAAATGTAGTTTAAATAAACGAAATCAAATTTGTTTGTACAAATTGTTGTTACTATGACAAAAGTYTTTTCTTTCCAAATATAAAAAAAATGGGTGAGGTGGACTTTAAGAAACAGTTGTGTAAAAAGATAAATTTAACACCGTAAAAAAGTAGTTGAAATAAATACTGATGTTTCGGACGTTAATCATTMGTCGGAGTAAAGAGATGGAGCCTCCTGGCTACGCGGCAGGTAATAAGTGAGTTGATATGACCCACGCGAGTTGGTTATTGGAGGAGAGTGGATATGACCCACGCGAGTTGGTTATTGGCGAGTTGATATGTACGTGAGAGTTGTTAATAGGCAAGTTGATAGCACCAGTGCGAGTTGTAATTGGAGGGTGGATATGACCAGTGCGAGTTGGTTATAGGCGTGTTGATAGGACCCATACGAATTTGGTAAATTGCGATTTGATAGATTCCAGGCGAGTTGATAGGMCCAGTGCGAGTTGATAATTGGAGAGTGGATATGAACCGTACGAGTTGTTTATAAGCGTGTTGATAGGACCCACACGAATTTGGTAAATTGCGATTTGATAGGCCCCAGGCGAGTCGATAATGAGCGAGTTTATAAGCAATGTGCAGCGATGCCATTTTGTACAACAAAGCTTTATGGGAAATGAAGTCTGGTAACAGCCATTTTGAAGAAACGGCACCACTGTTTGCATTTGGAAAAGAAAAAATTAGAACCGACGTCGAGGAGGTGGTGGARGACTACATATCCCATAATGCTTTATGTAGATGCGTCGCTGCATCGATTTATTTTGTATCGATTTCGTGTWATTATTATTTATTATTTATWAAAAAAATGYCAATTTAATGTTTTAAACCTCCTAGGGAAAACTTTCTTGCCATTCAAGTTTATTACGAAAGCCATCGTGGAGTTCTCTACAAACAAAACAGTAGTTTTGGAATTACAGCCCTTTTTGGTAAGGACAACAAAACCAATGCATGG